GTCTTTGTGGCTTACTTTTTGGGCGTATAAAGCCTGTCCCTCTAAGCTTCCAGTTCTCTCTTTTGATTTTATATTGGAGTGGCCAGATTGCTTTTGTATTCAGGAGTTCCCACAGAGGCCCAATTCAGATGAAGATCGGATGCTCTCTGGCTTTCTTCTAAGGTCTGGATCCCTCCAGGAAAGACTTTGGCCTCAGGAGTTTGGGGGTTGGACTGGCCTGGGAGCCAGGCCCAGGAAAGATGCTGGTCTAAGGCAGCTGGTGGCCATGCCACCCAGAGATGCAAAGGAAGATGGGGGCGGGAAGCGGTGCCAAGGGCTCCTGGGGCCTGCACTGAGGAGCGAGCTGGGTTGGTCTGGATGCAAAGGATCAGGAAGAGGAAAGTTCAGTCCCAGTGTCCGGGAAAGAGGGTGGAGGGCCGTGCAGGCCCAGCGAAGCAGAGGGAGGTGAGGGTGGGGCCAGGCCCAGAAGCAGTGCTCCTGGGGACCCGAGAAGGAACTGAGTTGCTCTGGATGCACAGGATCTGGAAGCAGTGGTGGTTCCCCAGGTGTCTGGAGCACCAAGACAAGGAATGGGAAAGGACCCAGGCTAGGAGGAGAGACGGGTGGGGGAGATGGGACGGTGAGTGAGGCTGGGGGAGTCAAGGCACGGAGGGAGCGATTGACTTACCCCTGAGAGAGAGGCCATCAGGTGGGAGATAGCAAACCTAAAAATTTTATAGCCACTTTTGAAAGAGATGTATGTGTCTTTGCTCTGGAAACTGTTAATGAGTATGTTAAAGCTGTAATGAAATGGTTCTTCTAAAAAATAATAATAAAAAAAGAAAATACTTGTATTTCACCAATTAATGACATTTGGCTTAGTTTATCTGAGATGATAGTATGGACTTAACTTACAGGAGCTTAAGAGGAAAGACTTAAGTCTAATCTCTGCTTCTTAAATGCTGCATTAGAGTTCCAGCTGCCTTGTTGATTGCTCTGCTGTGCTGATCTGGGGTCACCTTAGCCTTGCACATCTCATACTCCTAATATTTAATGTGCTGCACTGTAGGGATATCTCATCTGTCAGCAAACATTTTATTGTACATAAGTTTTTGAGGAGTTATGCTTTCATTATTGAAAATAAATTTCAAAAAAGCAAGCAGATATATACATTTTGAGCGTTTATGTTATTTGTAACTTTAAGGAGGAGACTTTCTTTTTTCAAATTTACATTTTCAGGCAAAATCAGTTCCTGTGCAAGGAGAGGGTGAGAATGTAGCAGCTGCAAAAACTACTGACGTGGAAGGAAGGCTGTCAGCACTGCTGCAAGAGACCAGAGAGCTGAAGGTTGGTGTGTGAGACTGTTTATTGTAGATATAGGAAATAGACACCAGGAAATCTATTTCATTTAACCTCTAAAATCCAAAAGCTTTTAAAAAAAAAAAAAAAAAAAAAAACCTGATGGATGAGATTAGTCTTAACTCACATTTCCAAAAGGAACAGTTTTTAAATGTTAGTTCAAATGATGTTATTGAATATGTAAAATAAGAATTCATTGAATTCATAGGGTGGAGGTATGTGTAACATAGTGGTAGATCACCTGACTCGTATCTACAAGTCCTAGTTTCAATCACCAACTCTGAAAGAAAGAAAGAAAATATTTGCATACTATGAAAGCAGCATTCATTGAAAATATTGTGGGTTGTTTTTTTTTTTTTTACCATCATCAATAACATAGTAAGAAAATAAGGAGTACAAATTGGGCTAATACAAAAGCCACATATAGCTGGGCATGGTGGTGCATGCCTTCATTCCCAGCACTGTCAAGACAGAAGCAGACGATCTTCGTGAATTTAGGTCAGCCTGATTCGTATAGCGAATTCCAGGTCAGCCAAGGCTACAAAGTGAGACCTTGTCTCAAAATAAGCAAATGAATGAATAAGTGAACACCGTATATGTCCGTAAGACTGAGGAATATTGTGACAGACATTTCAGAATAAATAATATGAAGAAAAAAATAATGTGACATTAAAAGATAAGTTATGAAGAAAAGTTTTGTGAAGGAATTATACTTTTTCCATTTTGGTCAAATTTGCAAGCCATAATTTTATTTGAAACTATTCATTTTATTCTATGTATGAAATGAAATTTTCCTTCCCTCTTCTAATTTTAAATTCTAATTCTGAGGCTAACCAGCTTTTGTAAAATGTTTCGTGTCTATTTACTGTTCTGGTTATCTGAAATGGTGTTGCTTTTTTATATCCTCGGTTTGGGGATGAGTAGCTAGCCAAAACTGAATTGTGAATGTACTCTGTTTTTCTTAGTGGCTATCTTTCCTAAATGGGCTAAAAATTCTCATGTTCCTGGATAGGTACTGAAAATTTTTTTTATTAATAATACCTTGTGTACCTTCAGTTCTCACCTAAGCACCTCACATTCAACAAGTGTAGTATATTAATTACTTTCACATTCCTGTGACCAAAGCCCTGACAGAAGAAACTGAAGGGAAGTAAGATTTATTTGGGTCACAGTTCAGCTGATGCAGTCCAAAATAGCTTGGAAGGCATTGCATCAGAAGCAGCACACAGTTGTGGTGGCCGGAATGCAAGGTGGCTTGTCAAACCTTGGCAGATTGGGCAAGAGACAGCTCTACCCATAACCAGAAGTAGCTGTCACCTTCAAGACCCACCCCCAGTGATCTATGTCTGCCACCTAGACCCCATGTCCAAAAGGTTCCACAGCATCCCAAAACAGCACCAATACCTGGGAACCAAGTGTTCAAACTAATGAGCCATTGGGAGACATTTCACATCTAACACATTGTGAGGCAGGTGGATGAATCTCTTGAGATTGAGGCCAGCCTGGTCTACATAGCGAGTTCCAGGCTAGCTGGGGCTATAAGGAGACCCAGTTTAAAAATCAAAAAACAAGGGACTGGAGAGACAGCACAGGCTGCAGAGGACCTGGGTTCAATTCCCAGCACCCATATGACATCTAACCATCTGTAAGTCCAGTTCCAGGAGACCTTCTGGCCTCTGTGGGCATTGCATGCATGTGACACACATATATGCAGGCAAAACATTCATACACATAAAGTACAAATGAATGAATAAAAAACAAAAACGAACCAAACGAAGCATAACATAAGTTATGGAAAGTGAGTTAAGAAAGTGAGTACTAGCCGGGCGTGGTGGCGCATGCCTTTAATCCCAGCAGAGGCAGGCAGAGCTCTGTGAGTTCAAGGCCAGCCTGGTCTACATAGTGAGTTCCAGGACAGCTGGGGCTACAGGGAGACCCTGTCTCAAAAAGACCAAAAAAAAAAAAGTACTACTTTTAGATTACTGGCTTTCACCTTTCTTCTCCTAGAATGAAATCAAAGCTCTGTCTGAGGAAAGAACTGCCATTAAAGAGCAACTGGACACATCTAACAGCACCATTGCCATTTTACAGAACGAGAAGGAAAAGTTAGATTTGGAAATTGCAGATTCTAAAAAAGAACAAGATGATCTCTTGGTGCTGTTGGCTGATCAGGATCAAAAGATACTGTCATTGAAGAGTAAACTCAAGGATCTTGGTCATCCAGTAAGACTGAATATTTCCACAGATGATTTGTATTGTGTTTCTTTCTAAAGCATATTCTTAACTTTAATGTGCCTGTGTCGGTCATAGATATGTGGGGTCATGTCCATGGTATTATCTATAATTGTTTCACTCCTCAGTGAATTCATTTGAGATAGATTAAATTCACCTTTCAACATTTGTAGACCTTGAGCCTAGAAAAGAATTGATTTGATTGTGGGAACAAGACTGACTATCAAGAGGTGTCATTATCTTTACCATCTTCGATTCAAAGTCCTGGATAGAGAAGTGTGGTCATTTATCATTAAAGTTAACTAACAAACAACTCATTCATGTTAAAAATGACAGCCTTAAGGCCAGGCGTCGTGGTGTGTATGCCTTTAATTCCAGCACTGGGAAGCAGAGGCAGGTGGATCTCTATGAGTTCAAGGCTAGTCTGCTCTACATAGTGAGTTCCATGCCAGCTGGGGCTACAGGAAGACCCTGTCTCAAAAAAAAAAAAAAAAAAAAATCACAGCCTTGAACATTAAATCAAAGAAATCAGATTCTACTATAATTATAGACTATAACGTTTATCAACATGTGTATTGCATGTATATATTTACTGTATTCATGCAGATATGAACAAATCTGTATTTTCCCTTTAGGTAGAAGAAGAAGATGAGTCTGGAGACCAAGAAGATGAAGATGATGAAAATGAAGATGGTGACAGGGACCAGGATATCTAGCTTTAAACTCTAGGAATGTAGAGATTATGTCATTACTTTGAAAGGGTCTTAAGACAGTGCTTTGATTTGCCTACGTGGAAAATAAAGCTTTAGAAACCAAACAGAAAGCATTCACTAATAAACTATTGATTTTTTTTTTAATGTTGCCACCTATGTGGAAAACCCTAAACCTCTCACTGCCCATAGAATTTTATTTATATTTGTCTGAACTGTCCCAAAATAGAATTTGCAAAGAGCATCAAACTCCAAAAATATACCATTTCAAGGCATGTGGTAGCAATGCAATTTGCCTTATTGGTTCATTGTCGTTTGCTTTTCAGAATTTGTGGCTTTCAGTACTGACAACATTTAATTAAATATGTATTGAATTGGAATCGTTTCTAAATTAGCATTTGAGTTCTCAGCTGATTATTTCCTTTTAAAGAAAGGACTCTACTAAAGGCAAGATAGTCTGGGCTCTGATAGTATGTGTCATCAGTCCCCCATCCAGTGTGCCTCCCAGAGTAGGATAGGACAGGACAGAGTGCCTCGCCACCCAGGAGGGCCACATTCTGTGTTCTGAAGAAAGGAAGAAACTGTCACGGGATGTGGAAAGTGGTTCTGAGAAACTGCAACAATGTATTAACAGGGTTGGTTTTCTCTCTCTCCTCTTTTTTTTTTTTTTTTTTTTTTTTTTTTTTTTTGGTCTTTTTGAGACAGGGTCTCTCTGTAGCTCCAGCTGGCCTGAAACTCACTATGTAGACCAGGCTGGCCTTGAACTTGGAGAGATCCACCTGCCTCTCCTGAGATTAAAGGCGTGTGCCACCACGGCGGTTTTCTCTCTTTCGTGGTAAGCGTGGAAAACAGATTACAGTTAACAGCTCATACAACTCAGACTTAGTATTATTAGATTATCATAAAACATGTTCTTAGTTTTAAAAAGACCCAAACTATGATTTATATAATTTATTGGCATTTTTGCTGAATAGGTTTAAGTCAGATAATAGATTTTTAAAAAACAAATGATGTGTCAAACTCTAATGTTTTCATAATAAAAATAGATATTATGTTCACTTAATCCCTGTCATGACTCCCTTTGTTTAGATTTGAATGAAATTATTTAATTAATAATAATTAGTAAGGCAAGTGAAAATGCTAAGAAGGCTTCTCTTACTGTGATACGTTACTGAAACTGGATGTTAAAAGTAAGGGCTGGAGAGATGGCTCAGTTAAAAGCACTGGCTGCTTTTGCAGAGGACCTGAGTTTGGTTCTCAACATCCACATGGCAACTAACAGCAGTCTCTAAGTCCAGTTCCAGGGCATCTGACACCCTCTTCTGGCCTCCCTGAGCGCTGCATGACATGGGTGTACTTTACATACATGTATGCAAAACACTCATGCATATCAAATAAAAACTAAATTTTAAAAATTAATAATCGCCCCTAAGTTACTATATGAGGTGAAGAAGTCCCATTCACTTAAAAAAAAAAAAACAAAAAAAAAACCAGACATCACAAATAGATATTCTTGTTTCTGCAGCCAGGAAACTCATCAGCTTGCCACACTGGTTCTTTTTGAAAAACAGCCAAAATTTTTCTGATACCTCGTTTTTAGCTCTTGTGGCTTGCTGAATCAAAGCAGCTGAATTTAAAGCAAGGTCAAAATCATTTCCTTCAAGGATGAGCTGACTTTGCTGTGCTCGAGATACTGAACAACCAACACTCATCTTCATCCAAATCCTGCAAATACATTTTCACCCCTAAATTTTTTGCAAGACTCATTTTGAGTAATGATGTTGGGGAAGTGAGCGTCCACAAACCTCATCTTGTAAGGGGATCCTAGCATGACACCTTGGCTCATGCTCTGCACAGATACAGACTACAGATAATGTGAGCAGTAGCCAAGTTCCTTTCTGTTTCCCTAGCACTTATCAACCCAGAGCCTCTTTCTTTCCGAGGATAATGAGTTCTACATTAATGTGATGGAAGTTTCTCCAGAGGGAATCTCTCAGGCCTTTCCTATTAGCTGTGACCCCTCAGAGTGATGTTAACACTTTCTGGAATGCTGATAATTGAATTGCTGAATACAGTCTTCATTCTCACATAGACTCAGAGGCCCCAGGTCATATTAATGAGTCATTACTTGTCTGAAATTATGCTGATAGAAGTCAAGCCTCTGAGTATCATAGTTTTGTTGCAACCAGGTTAGGGTCTTATACTGCGTATTAGAACTACTAATCTTTACTGCAAAGCAAAATTTCTCAGCCATAAACATTAAGGATATTGTGAGAAAACGAAATCCCATGTTAAACTTACATTTTAGAGTAGGCAGTAATCAAGAGTAAAGTACAGTCAAGTGCTCCGTGGCTTCTAGAAAGAAATTTGATGAGAAGTCAGAAGACTGATTAGGTTTCATTCTTTTCATAGATCTCCTCTACTGTGTTGAGAACTGTTTGTGACAGAGGTCATGAAGGAAGGCATGGGACTATGTAGGAAGCTATTGCCATGGCCCAGACAAAAGCAGACAGTTCAGACTATATTGTAGGGTGATAGTGTGTAAAGTGATAGGACTGGAAATGCATTCTGCAGGTAGAACTCAGCAGAGTCTGATAAGCAAGTGTCTGGGGAATGGAGTAAGAAGAAAAGGCAAGAGCAGTTCTTGGAGAGAGTGATGTCGTTGGTTGAGTTGAAGATGGGAGGAGCAGGTAATCAAAAGTTGCATGTCTTCCAAGCTTGTTAAGCCTAAGATCCAAGTAGATAGATTCATGTAAGGATGTTCAGTAGGGGTGGATGGGAAAACTCAGAACTCCTGATCAAGGTAGGTGCTGTTTGAATCATGCACCTGGCTAAGCTCTTCTGGGAAGTAGAGTGAGACTGCAGCCAAGAACAGCCTGCAGAATTCAGTGTTCAGAAGTCAGGAAGAACCTCAGTAAAAATAAGTGAACAATCTTAGCCCAGAACTAATTTGAGTACTGGAATTAAGGAAGAAACTATGATAGTTCAACTGATTTCCTCCATTTATTTTGAAGTGTAAGTTTATTGCCTGCATCTTTGTAAGTACAACTGTGTTGTGCAATGCCCATAAAGGTCAGAAGAGAACATCGAATCCCCTGGAACTGGAATTTCCAACAGTTATTAGCCATCATGTGGGTGCTGGGAATGGAACTGAACCTGAGTCCTCTGCAAGAGCAGCCAGTCCTCTTAACCACTGAGCCATCTCTCCATCCCCCATAGTATTTTAATCTAAACATACTTTTAGTGACATCTACTCTGCTAACCAAATAGAAGCTATCTGATGATGACAATACCTGTGTTTTATAATGCAAATTAATTTATCAAATTGCCTCGTTTCTTACAAATTAATGACTTTACCTGCTGGCACTGCTAAAGAGAAGTTATTCTTGGTTTTAACCTGCATCTATACTCAGAAACATATTTTCTGTACTTTTCCCAAATGAAGATTAAGCCAGAGAGGAAAATGTGTGTGACATATTACCTGTCTTATGTGACATATTGTCTATCTCAAAATAGGGTTTTTCTGTCTGGCAAATTAGCCATTTTTCTAAACACTTTTTTTTTTTCCATTTCCACCTTAAATGCTTCTAAATAGTTTTTAGTTTGAAAACCAAAGATTACACATTGTCTTTCCAATAATGGTTACTTTTGACTTTGGTAATTACAAAAATATAAGGAGGCACACCTATGAGGTTGTAAATACAAGTGTCAGACATCTGGTATGTTAGTCTTTTTCTAGCTCTGAGTTTTTAATTCTATATTTAAATAAATTTATTTTTCTGCACGCCCATTGGGATATTTGTGGTGTCTTGTAAAGCTTGCCATTTGATGCTCTTCTGGCCCTTTCCCTGAAAAAATCCAGAAAAGCTCTGAAGAGCTCTTCCACCTGTCTGACAATTTATGCATCTATTCCCCCCATAAAAACACTTGCCTTTTATTACCAAAAAGGTCAGATGAGGTAGTTCCTGTGGCGGGGCATACAGCATGGATCTTATTTTTTACCCTAATGCTCTTGACTCACAATGAGGATGCATAAGATTATAAAACATGCCAAACAAGGGGCCTGTCTTTGGAAATTACTTGGTGTATGTAGAGGTTTCAGTTTACCAACATGAAAGGATAGGTAAGGCCTGGGGAGATGTTTCAGTTTGTAAAGTTCTTGCTACACAAGCATAAGGAAGCATGCTCAGACCAGAGATTCCCACAGAGAGCACACCAAGGCCTTCTCTAAATCCCATGGAACACTAGTAAAGAGTTCTGTGGCTGTGTGTGTGTGTGTGTGTGAGAGAGAGAGAGAGAGAGAGAGAGAATATGGTGTCAGACAGGGAGCAACCCTCTGTATCTGGTATTTTTTCCCCCAGAACTTGCTCAGCCAGCTTTGCAGCTAACCACACCTTTTCCCATGCATGGCATGCAGCATACAGGGAGGTGAATACCCTGTATAGGCTGAAGAGGGCCTGGAACCTGGACAACTGATATTCCATAATGGCAGAGAGCCTCTTGGACAAGTAGAACCAAGCCTTGTGAGTAGGCAACTTAAGGGAGGAGGACCTTCATATGGGTGGGGATTCTCAGGAAGGGTCCCACAGCAAGAGGGATTCGGATAAGAGAAAGAGGTTGACTATATCAGACCCATTCTGGAGATGATCCATAAGGCATACATGACCTAACCACCTCTGAAAAGTTCCACCTCTTACTCTCTTATGGAGAAGAATATTTTTCAGTAGAGCTATTCAAGCCAAGTAGGTTATAAAGATCTGCTGGCTAAGCTGACCTCGGTGGACGTGAGGGGAGTCATGAGGCTGCACTTACAGAATCCACATACAACAATTCTGAGACCTGGTTTCTAAAAGTCCCAGGGGGCTGGGGAGATGGCTCAAAGGGTAAAGTACTTGTGCAAGTGTGAGGACATGCGTTTAAAGCCCCAGAACCCATGTAAAGCTAGACAGGGTAGCACATGACTAAAATCCCAGAACTCCTGCAGGGAAATGGGAGGCAGAGACAGAGAATCTGCAAACTCTCAGGACAGCTACCCTGGCATTCACAGAGGCAAAAAAAAGAGAGAGAGAGACCCAGCCTCAAACAAGGTAGAAGGTGAGGACCAATA